GCCGAAGCAGGGGCACCTACAGCAGGCTGCACAGGACCTTGTCCAGGCGGGTCTTGAATATCTCCAGAGAAGGAGACTCCACAACCTCCCTGGGCAGCCTGTTCCAGTGCTCCGTCACCCTCAGAGGGAAGAAGTTCTTCCTCATGTCGTGTACCTGGAGCCCGTTACGAGAGGAGGAGACGGGTGATGGTGCTGAGGCAGGGAGGAGAGGTGATCCCCAGCCATTGCGTCGTGGCAGTCCCCGTTAGCTGGAGCTGGCTCGGGGCCGGTCCCACCAGACCCTCATCCTGCTCTGTCACCTCACGTCTCTGCCCACACCAGCGGCAGGGTCACCCTTTCCCTCCCATCTCCCTGAGTCTCCCATCACCTCCTCCGTAGCAGACACCATCTGCTCTCGAAAACTCTGCCGTGGCTCGGGGCGCTCCCTCGGGGTTGCTGCCCTGTCCCGTGGGTGGTGGCAAAGAGTGTGGAGAGCAAGCATGGAGTTCTGCGTTTCTCCTTGGAAGTGCGTGGCCAGAACAGCTGGGACGCTGCCGCGTGCAGTGCTTGGAGCTGGTGGCATCCGTTTGACAGCGGGCCTGGCTTTATTCCGAGTTACGCTGGCCCTCCCAGCCAGGCTGTAGCCAGGAGTGCTTCGCTATTCCCCGTCGTGACAGAGTGCCCTCGTTCCAGGTGGGTGCTCAGCCGGCGAAGGTCACGTCTGGCAGCAGATGTCTGCGTGATTCGGATTTGGCTCCGTGTTCGTCTCTGCGTGGTCCCTGGGACGGGCAAATGATGATTCCTTCCCTGTCCTTGTGAAGTCCCCTTGTGACCAAGCCCATCTGTGGGCAGGAGGCTCCAACCAAACAACCCCTCCCTTTCGCTTGATAGAAACCATAGCAGGCTGGAGGGAAGTTCTTCCTTTGAAGAAGACAAGGTGTTTTCTGCGGAGAGTCGGCCAAGCTGTGCTGTCCGGTTGGGGTGATGGAGGGGCCCGGTTGAGCACCGTCGCACGGAGATGCTGAGCTGCAAGGGGCAGGGTGTGCTGAGCCTTGCCCAGAGCGTTGTGGCTCCAGTAACAAAGGTGGGATTCAGGAATCAATCATCCTTCCAAAGGGCATCCCCGGGCTCAGCTTCAGCCTCTAGCTGCCGTCAGGCAAGGTTGGGAAGCCTTTTGGTGACGACTGCCCTTCACCTTGGGGCCAGGAGGAGGGGAACTGGCAGAGGGAAGGACATGGGAGCAGCGTCGTTAGGACCGTGGGTGGACAAGAGTGGCTGGTGGCCAGAGGTCGGGTGACTTTGGGTGGGTTTGGTGGCAGCAGACCCTTGGGCACTCTTGTACTTTGCTGCAGCTCAACACCTGGTTGGAAGGTAGGAGCAAAGGGCCGCCAGTCAGATAGAAACATATTGATCCAGAGCGGGGAAGGTCACCGAGCCAAAGTTTAAGCCCTTCTGCCTCTTCTGCGCTGCGGAAAAGCAGTGAAGTTGGATGCCTCGAGGTCTGCGTGCAGGAAAAGCGGCTGGAACGGCGGGGCAGGGCTCCAGCCCGTGCGCAGAGGGAGCAAAAGCCTGATTTACCCTCATCGCTCAGCGTGTGGCGTGCTGGAGGGAGGCAGCGTGTGGTAAGAAATGCAAATGAAAAGAGGATATTCAGGCCTCGGGAAGAGAGCAAAGCACCCTGGAAGAGCTGGCAAAGCCCAGAATGAGCTTTAAAGAGCAACTCTGTGAAGGGGCAGAAAGCCAGCGCTTGTGCCGGTCGCCGAGCAGGTGGGAGGCGGCGAGCTTGGCGGAGGGGCCGTCGCCTGGCTCCCGTTTTGTGTTTCATGAACCACGGGTCTGTGCTTCACCGAGCGCGCCGGTGCCGCCGTGCCCGTTCCCACCGCTCCTGCCAGGCGGTGCCGGAGTCGCGCGCTGCCTGCCGTTACAGCCCGAACAAAGGAGACGCCAGAAACGGTCCATGGGAGAGGGGAGGTTGTGTGAGGACAGAGCAGCTAGAAACGCCGGAAAATCGCGTTAGCCAGCCATTCTGTGACCTACTTTCCTTTTGGCGATAGCTGTGGCTGTGCAGGGGTGAATGGTTGCTAATTTTAGCTTATGGTTCATCAGGGAAATCTACATATTTTTCTCACTGCGGCGCTGGGTATGGATGAGGGGTTGGGATGCAGGTTGGTGCTGGCCCGTATCCGATTTTCTCAAAATTCGGGTTCTCTGATGCTAAACGCCCATCACGCTGCTGTTCCCTCCGGTGACCTACTTAACGCGTACAATTTGAAAAGTTCCTTGGTATCGGCGAGGATCATTGTGGGAAACGTGACCTGTAATCCCCTCTTGCTACACTCTGCTGGACAAATTGATTTCCAGAAAAAAAACAGTCAGCTGTACAGATTCTGCAGGGGAAGAAAGGAGAGAAGCTGCCCTTGAGTGCGGTGAAGTCCTGTGCTGGGAGCCTGCGGTTGCGTTTGGGAAGGTTTGAGGAGACTCGGTTCATCGAGAGGCTGTTGATGTTCAAGGTCCAGGTGCCTCCTGCCGCGGTTCTGTGCTGACCGGAGCTGCTTTGTCTGGTCTCCGAAGATGAGCTACGGGGCTGCGCCTGGAAATGTACCTCTGGAGAAAGGTTTGCAGTGTAATGCAGAAAAACACAGGCGTGTATTCAAGCCAGAATTTCAGCTGTGAGTGCAAACCGTACCATTTCTGAAAGGATGTATGGGAATGGAAGGTCACATTTTTGTTACTATCACAGAATCCCAGCATGTTCGGGATTGGAAGGGACCTCTGTGGGTCACCCAGTCCAACCCCCTGCCGAAGCAGGGTCACCCAGAGCAGGCTGCACAGCACTGCATCCAGGTGGGTCTGGAATATCTCCAGAGAAGGAGACTCCACAGCCTGTCTGGGCAACCTGGGCCAGGGCTCCGTCACCCTCAGAGGGAAGAAGTTCTTCCTCATGTTCAGCTGGAACTTCCTCTGCTTCACCGTTGCCCCTGGTCCTGTCGCTGGGCACCACGGGAAAGAGCCTGGCCCCGTTCTCCTGACACCCACCCTGCAGATATTTGTAGGCAGTTCGAAGGTCCCCAGTATCCGTAGACTGGACTGCGGGTAACCAGTGGGCAGTGTTGTCAGAAGCATCCGAGCCCTATTTTCAAAAGTGGCTCTGCTCTTTGAAGAGGCAGAACAATGTTTGAACACCGCCATGGGTGCTAAAATCGCCGAGATCGTTCAGGAGATGCGGTGAGGAGCTCGGAGGAGGGCGCTGGGTGCGGGATGGGTGCGTGGGCCAGTGCCCGTCCCCCCCTCGCCGGGAGCTGGGTGCCGGCAGGGTGGTGCAGCCCTACCTGGGGAAATGGGGTTGCGACGGGTGTCTCGGTTGCTGCCAGAGATGGATGGCGATGCAGGCGCTGGGGATCTTCTAAATTAAACCATGTGAGAGACCTTCAGCATCTCTGCTGCGGGGCGAAGCTGATCCCCACTGGCTCTGGGTGGTGGCTGTGTGACACAGGCTGCTTGCGGCCTTGAATTTGCCCCTCTGAGATGCGTTGCTGGATTGAGAGAATTTGGCTTCCTTTCACCTCAAAACCCCATAGTCGAGGCAGATTATCTGTGTAGATTTTTAGCTGTGGC